GCAGAGGGGGGTCCAGGCTCTGGCTGACCAGGTCCTGCCCCGCCTCGCAGCCCCGGGACACGCTGTGGGGCCACTTTTGCCGCTTCGTGGCCCAGCTGCTGGACACCATCTGCAACCTGCAGGACGCCATGATGCCCAACCAGGACCCCAACTAGCCCCGCGGCCCGGCCCGGGCAAGGAGCCACCAAGTGCACCGGAGCGCCCGCGCACTGCCCTCGCTGACGGTGCCCCCCCCCCGCCCGGGCACTTTCTATTTATTTATTTATTGCTGGACTGGGTCAGGGCCCCGCACGGGGGGACGTGCAGGGGGGCAACGCAGGCTGGGGAGCAAGGAGAGGGCAGCTAGACACCCCCATCCTGGGTCCAGGTGGGCGCGGGGTCCGGGCGCAGCTGTAGCACTTTGTAAATACTGTACATGGAGCCTGTATATAGGGGGGGAGGGGGTGTGGGAGGGGGGCTGTACATAGGGGGACACGGGAGGGGGCTGTACATAGGGGACACGCGCTGTACATGATCAGTTCCTCCTTTTGTATGTTTCTTTTCAATAAAAACGGATTTCGGCAAAGCTGCGGCTGCTGGTGCTTGTCTGCCGTGGTGGCCCTCGGGCAGTGTGTCCCAGCCCCCTCCCTGCAGGATTGGGCTGGCAGGAGAGGGGTTAAAGGCATGGGTGACCCCTCCCTGCTAAGTGCCACTTAGCGAATTGCTTCCGAAGGCTAAAAATGGACTTGCGGGCGGGAGCAGCAGGGATTTCCCCAGGCTCTGCTGCCCCGCCCCACCTGGACGTGGGCAGAGCACGTGTGGTGCCAAGGCATAACCGAGCTGTGCAAGGATAGACCACGAGGCCCTAGCCCAGCCGTGACCAGGACCACGGCGATGCCTACTGCAGCGAGAATGCCCAGGCCAGCGTCTCCCGCCCTGACCAAAAAGGGTGCAAACGAGAGGAGGTGGGAACAACAACCTTTTATTGAGGAGCTGGGACCCCTGCCAGCCCCGCACCGCTTGTCCCCGCGGTATTGGGGAGGGGGCAGCGCCAGCTCCGCTCAGGCTGAGCGTCTAACCTGTGCTCGAGGGCAGGCCGCAGCCCGGCCCCGGGTGCCCGGCTCAGCTGGGTCCCAGGCACTCGACAACCCCGTTCCCTTTGATGCCATCGAAGAAGAAGAAGTTGTTGAGGGGCGGATCCCGCTGCGACAAGGCCTGGGGGTGGGAGGGAAGAGGAGCCGAGGGGTGTTAGTGAGCCCATGTGCCCTGCTCAGGAGCCAGTACCGCACCAGCCCAGTCATGCCCGATTCTGCCATGGCAGAGAGCATAGAATCCTTATTCCCCCTGCCTGAGCCTTAACTGGGCCCATATTACAGCTGGGTAAGCTGAGGCAGGGAGAAGCCAGCCTACACCAAACAGCAAGCCAGGGACAGGTGTGGCCCCGCTACAGGCTGGGACACCCCGAGCATTGGGCAGAGGGGGCTCCGCACCAGGCCAACTGCTAGAGACTGGGAAACAGACGCCAGGAGCTGTGCGGGGCGCGGGTGGCAATTCCAGCCACGCCTGACCCCAGGAACGCAGGGCTGAGGGCAGCAGGAGCAGGAGCAGGATGCATGTCAGCTGGGCCAGCTGCTGGACGGGGTGCAGGGACTGACCCGGCCAGGATGCCCGTCAGTTGGCCCAGCTGCAGGGGCGGGGGCCCGATCCGGCTACACACTGGGGCTGTCTGCAGGGAGGGTTGGGAGCCGGACTCCTGGGTTCTGCCCCAGGTCTCCCTGCATGATCAGGGCTTCGCGGCTGACCCCCTGCCCGCACCGCGGGGCATCGGGAACCCTCGGGTCAGCACTACCTTCCCTGGCAGAAGGGGCCCTCGGCCGGCACCCCAGGCCCCAGACCCGGACAGCTTCCTGCAGGGCGTGACGCCAGCCTCCGGCCAGCGCCACATGCTGCGGAGCCGCTCCCTGCACTTCTCCAGTGAGAAACGTTCCCCTGACTCCATCTCCTCCTTACCTTCACGATCTCCTGCCCCAAGACGCCTCCGACCACAGCGCACACGGGAGCCATTTCAGAGAAGCAGTAGCTGGAAGGAACCAACGTGTGTGGTCAGCTGATGCCACTGCAATGCCCACCCAAGAGTCCAGCTCACCCAGCTGCGTTGCAGGCCGGGAGGGCTGCAGCCCTCGCTGACTCCATTTGGGACGGGGACCCAGGCAGGGATAGCATGGGGCCCCCAGGCACTGACAACAAGAGATGGGGCGACAGGCTCCCCATTCCTGCATCGTGCCCAGCGCAAACCCAGGCTGGCAGGGCACGTGCCGAGCAGCGGCCGCGCACGCTGCCCGGAGCTTGCCAGGCACCCGTGCGCCTTGTCCCAGCCCCCCTGCGTGCTTCCCGCGGCCCTTCTAAAAATAGCACCCCCAAAATATCCACCCTGTGC